GGAGCAACGTACTACAAGTCTTCTAAGAAAACAAATTCCAACTCAGATGGATATAACCTGCAAAACTCTCTCTCAAGTATAATGGAGAAGTGAAATACTTCCATGACAAAGAACAACTAAAAAATTCATAAAGAGGTCCGGGAAGATAGTGCAGTAGAACAAGCACTTGCCTGGCAAGTGCAAGGGCCTGTTTTCAATCCCCAGTTATGGAAAAAAAAAATTCATGACGTCAAAACCAACCCTACACAGACTACTAAAATATATTCTAGAAAGGGACCAAAATGACCACAACTTCATAAATTAGAAAAGAAGGAACGCACCAAATAGGGTGAACAACAGGAGAAAAAGAGGTATACAACAGCAGTCTTTCAATTATTCTTTTGTATACAGCATCAAAATATTTCTATCAGCATACTCTACAAGTGGACTTCTCCTGCACCCTATGGGTCATGACTCTCTCCAGGTCTTCAGGGTGGATATCAAAGAAATAGCAGTAGCACAGTCCCACAAGTGACATCTGTCCACCAGTAAGCATCATGAACACAGTCCATATACAAGACATGATAGAACTTTGTGTGATATCCTATCTCCAAACTGTTGGAAGTGCTGGTCTTATATTTGCCTTTCCAGTATTCATATTATGTTTTATTCTTAGTAATTCTTTACTAACATGAAAATGTTTTCTTCTTTGATATTTTGTATATATTAACCCATTCAAATACAATGTGAGTATTCTGAATTGATATGATATTTTCTCCTAGTACTGGAAACTTTACAAAGTCTATTTCTATTTTCTATTGACTTTATATTTCCTCTTCCTTGACTTTTATACACACACACACACACACACACACACACACACACACACACACACACACATATGTAATCTTTGGATTATGATCTTTGTTATTTTCTATATGCTATATCTGGAGTTATTGGAATATTTTGAGTTTGTGTAATGAAACCATCATACTTTTAGTTTTCAAAGATATATTTGCTAAGTTGAAAATTCAATGAGGACAGATCTTTATTTTCAGCCCCTTGAATTAATTAGTCTTGTTTCTTGCCCACTTGCTCTTTTTTTTTTCTAATGTGGAATAAGTTACTATTTAATATTGTTCTTCCATAGCAAAATATTTTGTATATGCTTTAATGATATTTTCTTTACAATTAGTTTTGGACAATTTCATTTTTGTGTATCTTGGTATGAATTTATTTGTATTTGCTGTGCAAAACGTTCATTTTTCTTGGAAATGAGGTGTCATAATCTCAACTGCATTCAGCAATTTTAAATCTTTATATATTTATTGTATACCACATTTTACTTTGAGAATTCTAATTACATGAATGTAAGATTCTTGATTTTGGCACAGAGCGAACTATTATATGACTGACATGTAAATTCTTCAATTTTATTTTAGACAATTTTTATTTCTATATTCATTTAGGTTTGTAAATAATTTATTTACAATGTGCAATCTATTACCAATCTCAAGGTATATATTCATTTCAAAAATATTTCTCGGGGGCCCAGCCCTAGCTCAGTTCTTTAAGTGGCTGCTTCCACAATGCTGGCAGCCTCAGTTTGCTGTAGTTCGATCCCCACAACACTCCAGCCATGCAAAAGTGCCCTGAAGGCATTCAAGGAGCAAAAAAAAAATTCCTTATTCAAAAATATTTCTCTAAAATTCACTCCGTCTATATCTCACATCTTTCAGATTTCAGTATTTGTGTACAATTTTAATATGCTATATAATTATCAATTATCAATAAAGTTAATAAGAAAAAAACATGAACCAAGAGCAAGAAATAAAAAGTTCTCCAGCAGAAGAGGGCTTAGGATAACAGGGAAACTTTAGTCTGGAGTCCATACAGTGAAAAATCTCAAATAATCTCATCATCTCAGAGGTTCTCAGATGTGAGATTAGAGCATATCTCTAAGCTTCCCTGGGGTGATATCACGTAGATTTCTAGATTCTCAAGCTTGGAAGAAATCTTAAATTTCATCTAATTCCCTCTCAATTACAAATTAGCTTTTCAATATTTCTGCCAAGTAGTCTACCCTTGCATCACATCTTTGGATTTGGTCTCCCATCTGACCATTTATTTATTCATTTGTTGACATTTACAAAATGCTATTATGCATACATAAATAACTTTGATATGTAGTTATTCCTCTCACGGAGTTCTGCGGGTAGGTGACAAGACAACTGTGGAGGCAATGCAATATAAGAGCACCAGATAAGGGGCATACAAAGTTCTGTGGGTGCCACTGGGAAAGTCCTTTTATATACTATGTGAACTCAAAGATGATACTCAAATATACAATCATCAAATCCCTACACTGGAAAATTTAAATATACTCTTGCAGATCTGAATAAGTAAATACTATGCATGTTTTCAAACTAGTGAGGTAGATCAAAAGATGTTGCACAATCTACAGTGAAACATGTTACAAAAACTGTGATGGCTATGTGGGGAGACAGTTTGTCATTTAATAAAGTGCTCCTGTATGGACAAACAATTCTTGTCCTAAAATTGTAAGCAAGAAAACTAAAAATAAATGACATATAAAAAGGTGTACATGGAAATTAAATGTTCACACAAATAGGAGTATTATTCATAATTCCCCAAAATAGAAACAGCCCAATATCCATCATTATGAATGGACAATAAAAGGCATTGTATATGCACAATGAAACTCCACTAACACATGAAAACAGAATGCTTCACTTTCAATAAAACTTGAAATATTTGTGCTAAATGAAATGAGACAGTCAGAAGAGGCCATAGTGTTCAGGATTGAGTCCATTTATATAAAATGTTCAGAATAGTCAAAGGAAGAGAGACAGAAACAGGATTTGTTTCCTGCTAGAAGACACAAACAGGGTGGTAAGGACTTGAGATATGATTGCTTGTGATTACACAGTTACATTTTAATATTTTTTTAAAAATACACAATAACAATACAAAATATACCACCAGGAAAAATACAAAATTTCACTAAACAAAGTCATATGAATTCATCAGTAGTTGTTGTATTGCT